AGAATAGAAGAACTATGAAAGTGATGATGGTTTCAAAATTTTCCACGGGGAAGTATACGAGTGCAATCTTAAAATGCTTTTATTTTGTGAATGGAGCATTTTATTTAAATCTGGTTAGTGCTACGTTAGTAGAAAACTTCAGGACTAATCAATAGACATATAATACAGAAAACATAATTTCTTTTCAGATTTTTAGGTGTAAACATAGACTTCCGCTTTTCTACCACTGTAGCAGTATCCAGATTTAAATAAAATGCTCCATTTTCAAAATAAAAGCATTTTAAGATTGCACTCGTATACTTCCCCGTGGAAAATTTTGAAACCATCATCACTTCCATAGTTCTTCTATTCTCCACGAGTGCCAACTTTGATTTGCCAATTGTATCTTCAAATTTTCATAGCGATTAAAAACAAACATAGTGTAGTACTAGAATTTCGACTGGAATGGGATACGTTTAACGATTTGCTTGGGACCAATTGGCAAATCAAAGTTGGCACTCGTGGAGAATAGATGAACTATGAAAGTGATGATGGTTTCAAAATTTTACACGGTGAGGTATACGAGTTCAATCTTAAAATGCCTTTATTTTGCAAATGGAGCATTTTATTTAAATCTGGTTAATGCTACGTTAGGAGAAAGCTTAAGGACTACTCAATAGATATATAATATAGAAAAAATAATTTCTTTTCAGATTTATAGGTGGATGCATAGATTTCAGCTTTTCTACAACTGTAGCAACAACCAGATTTAAATACAATGCTCCATTTTTAAAATAAAAGCATTTTAAGATTGCACTCGTATAGCTCTCCGTGGAAAATTTTTAAAACCATCATCACTTTTATAGTTCGTTTATTCTCCACGAGTGCCAACTTTGATTTGCCAATAGGCTAGTCAAGTAGTAAGCCAATTTAAAATCGTTAGTTTCCACTAGAAATTCTCAGATGGAGAGATAGGCGGAGAAAACTAAATACAATTCGGCAGCAGGGATTTGTTCCTAAATTATCTTGCAACCCTTGCTAGAAGCTAGCATTTCAAATGACTTGTATTTTTGATTCGATTTACGTGCGTATTTCTAGTTTCCACCGGTTGGCTTATGTTATGGCTTATTAAAAAGAATTATCTTATTTGATGAAAACAACTATTTTTTTTTAAATTCGAAGTCATCTTCACGTAGTTTATAATTGTAAACATAAATAACTAGCAGGAAAATAACCAGCAACTCAGCATCCGACAACATGATGGCGTATGCAAACACTAGCTAAACAATCGATTGATCCGAATACGAACTCCCGGACACAGCCACTCAGAACGGCTAAGCCAGAGAGAAAGAAAAAAAAAACATCTGTCAATAATTACCTTCTGCTCCAGCGTGTTGAACTCTGAGACTTACCGGATACTGGATGTAGACTAGATCAGCACAGAACTCTTTCCTTTCCATGGGAACGAAACACTCGATAAATCCGGATACGAACTACCGGACAATACAAATTACCGGATGATAGAGTATTGATCCGGAAACCAACTTTCGATCGATACGAGGAACGGACACGGGGACACTGACCAGCGGCACGGTACGAAAAATCAACCCAAGCAAAACAATCTTCCGGTAAAGCCGACCAAGCAAAAGTTCAATTGGTCCACGAAAAACTTATTTTTGACACTTGAATGATTCAACGGAGGGGAAATAATTTCTAATCTGTCAAGTTTAAATAAAAATTCTCCAATTGGAACACAGCCTAAGCACCGCCTAAGTATAAGATTCACATATATTAAAATATCTAATATTTCCACCATCGGTATTGATGCTGATACTTGGAGCTGTCCTTCCCCTAGTTTTCAAGCGACTTTTTATAACGAGGTTTGTCTTGGCCAGAGTTGATTATAGAAGAGTTGTTAAGCGAACCCCACACGTATCAATATATTTACGCAAAAGGGTATTATTGACCATAATATTGATGATGTGAATAGCATAGCATAGCATAAACCAGGTTGCACAATGTCGTAGGTGGTACGAGCTCCAAACCACAAACAAAGTGACAGACGGAGCGGCTCGAAAACTTTGGTGACTATTGCTATTGCAATTTTTCAGTGTACCACATGGCAACACCACTACTAGTGGATTGTACCACATGGCAACACTACTACTGGATTGTACTAGCATTTTCACCAAATGTATTAGAATGTTTTGGTTCTATCTCTTTCACTCTACTCAAAACTGAAATCCATAAAAAAATGACAAAATGATACGCACTCTTTGCACACTGTCAAAGAATCATTGTACACAAAATCAACTTTGTTCAAATCAAAACAAAAAAACTAACCCATCTGGTGGATGATGGCACAAGCTTCCAAGAAAATTCTATTATAGTGAACCACATTATTTAAATGGATTTCTTCGCCAGTTAGTCGTCTGTCACTTCGTTTGTGCTCCAAACTGTTGTTAAGAACGAGGGGGACGACTCTATCTACGATGCAAAAAAGATTGTGTTTTGCTGTGGCTAGCTGCGCGCACGCTGATAGATAGAAAGAAGATTGATGACGATTCTGAAGATTTCCTGCAAAAAATTGATGAGCGATGCAAGTAGATGCGACAAATGAAAGAAGATTGTTCGAAGATTGATTCGCTAGTGTGAGATTTGTTGACCATCTAAACTTGACATTTAGATGTGTCGCCCCCCTCGGTTAAGAAGGAGACCCACCTTCATCCGTTGCTGCTAGATAGTAATTTGTGATTAATTACTACCTCTTAGATAAAGGATGTGTCTCCCTCCAACAGACCAGAGCTGTCCTGGTCACGTCCTTGCATCTGGTGGGGAAAGGGGAGGAATGTTAGTCCGACACTTACTTAAGAGAGATGCAGAGAACTCTACAACCCCTCAGAAGTGTCACGGGAAGGGTGGATTTTTGTTAGTAGGGAGGGTAAGCCAAAGGATACGCCCAGCCGGTGTTACTGGCAATCGTTATATCAAGCATTTAATACATAGAAACTGTAAGTAGTTTATCTTTCCGTTGTTGCTGCCCATTACCTTAACTTATTATTCAGATTTTGGAATTAAGAAACGTTATCAGCTCGATCCTGTTGTTCTTTTGCCCCTGAACATGTTTGCTGATCCTAAACATATGCACAATTCATTCTGATTACACAGGTTATTAATAGTATGTCTGTCTGGTATTATGGATAAAATCTGCCTGCAATAATTTCTTATGAATACAAAGAAGCTTGAACCCGGGAGTTAGAAGATGTCAATAATATTGATGATGTGAATACAGAAATATTGTCAATATCGATGTATTGATATCAATATAAAATATATTGACAATACGATTATTGTCAATAGAAGCAATCGTGTGGGGTCCACTTTACGCAGAGTGAAGCTTGCAACACTTATTTTGATCAATGGGCATATTTTTTTGTTTACACCTCGAATGGCTTCACCTGGGTTGTGAATGTTTCCTCTAGTTTCGATAGCAATACTTCCCACACAACATAGTCAGTTTGTCTACTATGCTCGATAGGTAGATGGTTTGACTATAGTTGCTATATTCATAGTCTGGCGGATAGAATTACGATCTATCAAAGAGCGGAACCAATTCAATATATTGTAGACCAACCATTGAAAAAGTTCTATCAACAAAACGTCGATTATTCTTTCCACGACAATCGAACGCAAATTACCGGCATCATCGGATAGGGGAATCTTTCCCCAACCCAAAGATAGTGTTAGTTTGCGTAGGCGAGCCTTGAATCACGAGAAAACGGGTTTTGAAGTTTTGTTCGCAATAGTTGACGTGCTCTTTTCTGTTGTTGGTCGTGATTTGCGCGATTGGTTCCGTATTTGACAGCTCAATTGGTTCCCGAGATCCTATCCGCCAGACTATGAATATAGCGACTATAGGTTTGACAACTCAGTGTCAACATTTCAAAGGGGCGTAATTGCATTTGTAAACAATGGCTTTAGCCGTCGGTTGTAAACAATTGTTTACATTTGTTACTTAGGACCTTTTGAAAAGTTAGGCGAGAATTGTTCAAGCTAAACAATGAATAATTCGACAGTGAGCATATGCATAAGGTCGTAAACGCGATGATCGATCCTCTTCGTCGATTTTCTCTTTTGTTAATAACTCGCTAGAATTAACGTTTCTCGGTACGTTTGCTGTTGCTTTTGATAACCAATACAACCTGTTACAAATTTGCATTAAACAAATCCTAGAAAATTGTTTCGCTTAGCTGCAGCAAAATCGATGAAGAGAATCAATCATCACGTAGGTATACGCAATTATGCATGCTCACTGTCGATTTGACAAAATTTGATTTGAACCTGGATTTGAATTTAATCTCAGTATGAAACAGTAGCACAGTAGGGCATCAAAAAATATCTGAGAGACGTGGCCTGAATTTTGAACTGTTGAGGATCTTCAGAACAATATCTGATCAAACTGAAGTCTTGAAAAAATATTTAAAGGACATTATGGAGATTTTTGATCCACTGAAGGTTTTTGGAATAATTCTTGGTCAACCTGATATCTTGAGAGAATATATGAGATACGTGACTTGAATTAATGAACAGTTGGAAGATCTTCAAAATAATACCTCATCAAACTGATGTCTTGAAAAGGACGTTAAGGAAATTTTTGGTCTTTAAAAAATATCTGAGAGACATGACTTGAACTGGTAGTCAGTTGAAGATCTTTAGAATAATACCTAACTTCCAAAACTCCTCATAGAGCGTTTGAACAGTTCATGGAACTTCCGAGATGTTCTAGAATTTCCTCATTCGAAATCGCAATCAACTAGGTATAAGCTTGATGTTTCTAAATGACTTACCTTTCTTAGCTATAGGGTGAAACATGCGACCTCTCTTTCTGTATAGGGCTCGCTCCTTTATCATCATTGGCATCATTCTCCAGTCAGGTGTTGCCTTTTTCAACTCGTTTCACTTTCAGTGTAAAAGGGCAGTGAAATTATCACCTCACCACGGTAGCACTCGCTCATAAACGGTTAAATTGCAAATCAAATCTCTTTCAACATAGCTTATCGATTAATTGAGCCACGACAAGCTCACGGATGTATCACAATTATCTGGTTTTGGGAAAATGCACGCCATGATACGTTGGATTGTTTGTTGAATCGGAAAATACGTCTTAACTAATCAAACACTATTATTATCAATACTGTCAGCGGTATTTGCCCATTTCTATTCCTTTACCTCATCGAGGTCATCTTCCATCAGGGCTATCATATCGAGATCAATTAATTCAATCACCTGAGATTGTTTAAAAAAAAAACTAAGTAATCATACAACACCCTTCTTTTGAAATTGTTCACTTACCAACAGAAAATCCTCCTTCAGCTCAATTTCCTGCATACCGGATTTGGAGTTCAAATTCGTCACGACATTGCGCGCCATACACAGCCACTGCGTGAACGCTTTCTTCTGGGCCAACGTGAACCGGAAGAACTCGGCAAAGCACTGGTGTTGCTCCTGGACGTCCTCCAAGCTACACACATTGTGCCTCAGAATGACGGCGTTCTGATAGCAGGATAGTAGTTTCAAAATCAGAAACAACTTACGCAAGTCCAGTGTCTGTTTGATATTGTCAATTTTAAGCGCTTCCAACTTGGTGAGGACATCACCGAATCCGTACAACCGATACATGGCGATCGGCTCGTCCGGGTGACTGTAGTGCCGGATTCCGGCAAAGACTAGTGCAATCGACACGTAGTAGAAGAGCTTCTGGTTGAGTACGGTTAGCTTTTTGACCACGTGGACCAGGTTCATGCCTTCCAGGGGTATTTCCTCGAACAGGCTTTTAGTGATTGTGTGGATCTGTTAGAATTAAAAAAATACCTTTCGTTGTAATACACAGACGACTTCGGTAATTTTTTACCGAACTTTCAGTAAAACTTTGACCCTCATTTCAAAAGCTGTTTCACTTGTTTTAAAAGCCTTAAAACTAATGAATTAAAATGCCAGATTGTTACCGAACAGCCGAAGTCGCGAATTCGAATTCGATCCAACCTGGACCGGGTATCAAGATTGGGTCTGGTTGTTCTCTGACAAATGTCAGTTTAATCTTTTGTTTTTAAAACCTACCTCAGGTTGAGAATTCGCACTGACCAAAAGTTTGGTTTCACACTGGGTTGGAAATGGTTCCAACTCCGATAATAAACGAATTCGCTTTAAAGTGTGCAACAATGCTAAATTACTTACCATTAGTGGGTCGAATTCATACTCTTCCGTGTCCAACTCGGCCACAGATCGAATGACCTTGTTAATCTCGAAGCTCATTCCAATGGGAAGATCCTTTAGAAGACATAAACAGCAGGAGAACTTCAGCAGCCATATGTACTGATCCAGAGAACGAAATTCGTCAATTCGCAATAGCACTTCCGATATAATCTATATTAATTATGAATTTTAACATTTAAAAACAAATTAGAAAATCTCACAAAGCTCACCTCCTTCAAAGTGGTCCCCTTCTCGGTGGTCATCTCCACTTGCGACCGATTCCCATCGCAACCCGCTGTGGACCGCATCTTCTCCAGCAATGGCTGCAACACCGACGCAAGCTGTCCGATTCCGATGCCGTCGCAGGAAGAGCAAATCCGCACGAACACCTCATCCTCGATGCGTTCCGGCTCCTGGCTAATCTGTCGAATGCTGTCATTCTTGAGGTGGAACGCTTGCAGCTGCTCGAAGCAGTCAACCTGTTCCTCCATTGAGGGATTGGAGGTTTTTATTTCCCTTTCCGGTGGAGAATGCTTGTTCGCTCGTCGAGAAAGTTGAATGTGTATATGACCGGAGGAATGATGTTGGGAAGAAAATCGAGTCAGGTGAATCACAAAGCGTGAACCGAAACCGAAACGGATCGACTACTTTTGTTTATCTTTTGTTTTGACAGATGGCATCAGAGCCCCAGCCAGAACTAAAGGCCTGTAGTAAAAGTGTGGTCGACTGTCACCTGCAGAAAACACTGAAAAAATAAGCAGTTCTAATCCAAAGTATGTGTTATATTTTGCATTTCTAACTGGCATTAAAAAAATATTGAAATCTATATAGTATAAAAGTTACGCTAAATCGCAACTCTCCGTACCGACGCAGAGGTCGGTATAAAGTGAGATAATGCAAACTTAGTATAAAAATGGTTTATGGTTTATACACCGACAAACCGACATGAATTACCATAGCAAAACCAATTAAATTTCCGACCAAAGCACACTAATGACATCTGGCTCCGGGTTCGCGGGAAATATTTAGCTAAGCCATGAGACCGCATGCAAAAGTTATGAATTGGTTCGTGTCTGATCTATTCTGGACAAATTATTTTTATCTAGATCAAAAAATTCTATGGTTTTGACAGTTCGGATCACTGCACATTTAAATCGACCGTTTACGATTTTCGGGCATAAGTCAGAATTAAGTGTCATGTCGGTTTGTCGGTGGTTTATATATCGATATATACATTTGACATACCAATGTTACTCTTTATACCCTGGACATTTTTTTTTTTTTTTAATTCTTTATTTAAGAGATTTTTAGCCTTAGGCTAGTTCATCTCTAATATACCCTGGACAGACTATGGCTTATATCATGTAATATAAGCTGTCTTGCAATGAGCACTCATACATCTAGTTTTCACTGGAAATCCTATGTATGAGTGCTCATTGCAAGACAGCCTATATTACATGATATAAGCCATAGTCTGTCCAGGGTATTAAAATGCAAAAAATTGGAATTAAGTCAGGGCTCCTGAAATGGCTTGAACTAGGGGCAAGCCAGCTGTACTCCGAGTTAATATTTTTGCATCGAGTAAATTTGAGTTACTCATAGTTACTCAAAAGGGATCAAAGTAGTCTTACGTCAACAAGTGAAAACATTTTGAATAAACATCATCTGTCATCAGTTTAAATAAACATCGACTGAAATCCAACGAACGCTTGTGATGAGGTTCCGGACCCGATTCCGATGATGGCGGATGATACTGTGCTTATCCTATTATCAAAGATTGATCACTTGCGAAGGAAATCAATTTAACAAGGCATTTGTGACCAGTATACACCTTCCGGTCGTATGAAGCAGGTCCAAATCCGGCCGTATTTTGATTTTTTGGCATCGTTTATGAACATTAACGGCAAATAACTCACCAACACTAGCGGACCGTGAGTACTGTATCACCTATACATCATTCCATCTTGGGTTGGAATGGCAGTTTCGTGGCTATGTGGAACTGATTCCGATGCTGAGGTGGTTCGTTCTGACTATGTCGGTCGTTGACAACAAGGCCACGATTTGTCGAACCGATAAAGGGATTCCTTCTTACTGAGTAGGGACGTCGGATAAGCATCGCAGAACCTTTCAATCCAACACCTGCGAATCCGTGTCACAATTTTGCTAAGATCTAAGATTTAAATTCTATTTGTGTAATTTATTGAGTTGATACAAGTACTGAACCAAGGAGAGGATGAGTTACCTATTCAAGAAGGATGGGATATTTTTCATTGAATAATCGAGTAATAAAATGATTTATAAGAATAAATGAATGCCAGTTTCTTATTTTCATTAAATCCTAGCAAATGGCATTTTGCAAATATCAAAAAAATAAATTTCTTGCTGCAATTTCATTAATGTGTAATGTACAATGTCCAGTTGGAATAATAAAAAATAATTAAATATAACCTGTAGCCCAGAAACTGCTGCATTTATTTTTATCACTGCCCCCGTAAAGATCATTGGAATATTTTGAGAGCCGTGGTTTTTTAATTCAAGGCCAGGTAAACCAAACGTCTTGTAGTAAATATGTACAAGGCTTATGCTTAATCTGAAAACGGTATGGAACAATTAATCGTTTAGAATCGATTGGTGATGGGCTAGACTACATTCCGGAGGACGAACAGTGACGTAATTTGAGAATGATGTCCCGGTATCAAACGGGGTTAGAATGTACTGTTGTTTGACAACTGGGAGAAGAGCACAACAAAACAGGACGAAAAAAACATGGCTACTGAGTCAATACAAACAGAATTTTGAGCAGCTCGAGTTACTCAGAGTAACTCAAAATTAACTCCGTTCTAACTCATGATCAGAAGCTGTCTTGCCCCCAGCACTGGGCCGTATGAATAAAAACAGTTCACTTTACTTTCCCGTGCTTTTCTTACGGGAAAAGTAAAGTAAACGCTTTTATTCATACGACCTAATGCATAGATACGGTTTATTCGAGAGAATGTTTTTTAGCATCTTTATTTAATTTATGGTAAATACGAGGGTAAATGTTATTCCCCCTTATTCTGTGAGTCACGTGACTCTCTCTCACCGGTGAGGTGACAATTGTCACCTCGTGTGAGGTGACTCTCCATGCAAATCAAATGGAGAGTCACCTCACACGAGGTGACTATTGTCACCTCACCGGTGAGAGAGAGTCACGTGACTCGCAGAATAGAGGGGATTGTTATGAAATAAAAATTAAAAATGTCTCAGGAAGGTTTTAAATTATTTTATTTATTATGAATATTATTATTATACGTAGAATTTCGAAGTTCATTAGGATGAACTCGTGCTCACGCAGTCTAGCTGCCCAGCTGGCAGTAAAAATCCGCCGGGGCGAAGCTCTTCACCAGCACGAAGCTCCAAAGAGAATCCAGATGTTCTTTTTCCTATCATTTTAGTAAACACTGATCGAATTCCACTCCGTTGTTCGGACTTAGTATAATCAACAATCAATACGAAACTAACGATTTTAAATTGGCTCACCACTTTAGTAGCCTATTGGTCCCAAGCAAACGATTAACGTACCCTATTCTAGTTGAAATTCTATTACTACACTATGTTTGTTTTGATTCGCTATGAAAGTTTGACAGATAACATCAGGGGTGTGTGGATTCATGCAGAACATGCAGGGGTGAGTGAAATAGCTTGGGACTGCTTGGGACCGTTGTTCTGGTACTGAGTGAGCCAAAAATAATAATGATTTTCTTCGGGACCCAGTGGTCTTAGAGTTACCTCTATGGTGCGACCGTACTGCATAGAGTTGGGATGATATTCCGAATTGGTTATTCGGCGCTTCTTATCTTCTATATTGTGTTATTGGTTATTGTTTATGGGGGAGAGCTGAGCCAAAAAGGTGAGCACGTTATTTCGGGACCTTCTAGTCTTAAGACCGGCGCACAATAGATACGTTTTCGGGTTTTTTGACAGATAATGCATGGGATAACTGTCAAAAAACCTGAAAACGTATCTATTGTGCGCCGGCCTTTAGAGTTACCTCTATGGTAGCGCTGCGCTCGAGCAAAGGTGGAAGCAACGCATAGAAAAATGAGCAAATACACAAACCTTCCTTCTGAGGATGTAATCTTTGCTATCAAATTCGTTCGAAGCATTTACCTTTGAGCGGCAGATGACGCGATTGTACCTGTCTCATAGCGTTCGTATGAGAAAATGGGAAAGTTGCCAGTCTTCTTGATTTGTTGTCTTCGGTACAAGTAAATACTCTCCGCAATAGCAACCGGTGGAAACTAACGATTTTAAATTGGCTCACTACTTGACTAGCCTATTGGTCACAAGCAGGCATGGAAAATCATTTAGGGGAAATGACGGCTTCGGCATGACAGACTATTTTCGGCAACCAAAATTGAAACACTATTTTTACTGGATTTTCTTACGAAAACACTTCGCTGAATGCATGTAAACGATTCTTTATGCTTTCAGCTTCAATTTGACTATATTTTTACCACTGAGAAAAAGCAATCTAGCAAGGTTTTCTTGAAATGCAACACACGCACTACAAATTGTAGCTGATTTCGAGTTGCCGATAATAGAACAGCAGATTTACATGCAGTTCAAATGGAACGGTTGCCGAAGAAAAACTGGTTGCCGACAATACTCGCTCTCACTAGAGAAGATTGGAGCTTTGTAAAAGCGTTTCAAAACAGTTTTTGACAATTCTTTCGACTGAAATTGTTAGAGCAGCTGGCAGCAAAAGATTGTAAACAAACCAATACTGCATATGTCTGCGTTCCTTAGAGAAAAAGGCTATAGAAAGAAGGTCGCTGCTTAGGTTGCCGAGAATACGTAAATTCCCCTACATTCATTTGCCTCTAACTTTTTTCATCAACAGCATTCCGCAAAATGATGTATAGAGCTTTTGTAGGTTTTGTTATTAACTACAACTTTTGCTCATAACTCAAATCTGTATCTCTTATGCATCACAAACTAGAGCAGGGCAGAACTTGTTACTGTTTTTCAGTGAATTTAAAATACATTCACTGAAAAAACAGTAGTGGCTTCTGTTCGCTTTGGTTCGTCATGCATCAGAGATACGGATTTGACTTGTTAACAAAAGTTGTAGCTAATAACAAAATCTACAAAAGCTATGTACATCATTTTGCGGAATGCTGTTGAAGAAAAAAGTTAAAGGCAAATGAATGTAAATGAATGCACGAAATGAATGCAAATGGTTTTCCATGCCTGGTCACAAGTACATCTATAAGCGTGAACGGAACGCAAGAAAAAAAAATTTCACGAGCAATGTGAAATTTCGGGTCGATCGATCGAAGTAAAAGTGTCGGTTACGGTTTTACGGTTCGGACGACTGGAAGCGGAATGGACGAAGAAAGAACGCAACGGGTGTACCTGTTCGACGGAACGAACTTCTCAAATTGGAGCTACAGGATGGAAGCGTACCTGGAAGAATTGGGGTTGGAGCACTGATGCATCCGGAAGAGCTTGGAAGAAGAAGATTTTTTCGTCGATGCGGCGGTGGACACCGCCGAAGTGAAGGCGCAGAAACACCAATCGCGGGAACGGCGAAAGCAGCAGGACGCGAAGTGCAAGTCCATATTGATCCACAAGATCGCGGATTCGCACCTTGACTTCATAAAAGGAAAAACCACTCCGAAGGAAATTTGGTCCACGCTGGAACGGCTGTTCGAGAAGAAAGGCGTCGCTGGCATATTCTACCTGCTCAAGCAAATGTCAGTGATGCGATACGACGAAAATCGCCCGTTGGAGGTACACATTGTTGCCTTCGAGAAGCTTGTTCGAGACAACATGGTGGACGGCCTGGAAATAGGAAGTAACCTGGAAGAAGACGAGAAAATTTGTGAATCATGCATGAAAGGGAAGCAAGTGCGGCTACCATTTGCGGACACACCGCAAGCAAGATCGAGTCGTCCGTTGGAATTGATACACACGGATGTGTGTGGACCATTCAAGCCGGAAGCTTGGGATGGAGGCAAAATGTTCGTGACCTTCATCTACGATTTCACGCACTTCACGGCGGTGTACATCGTAAAGGCGAAAAGTGACGTTCTGGCAATGTTCAGGAAATATTCGGCGATGGCGGAGGCACACTTCGAGCGCAGGGTGGCGCGCATCCGGTGCGACAACGGTGGCGAGTACGTCAACGAAGAATTCATCAGTTTTTGTGAAGCCAAAGGAATAGTGATGGAGACTACAGCGCCCTATACGCCACAGCAAAACGGCGTTGCGGAGCGCATGAATCGGACCATCATGGAACGATCTCGAGCGATGCTGGACGACTCTGGATTCAAGCGGCATATGTGGAACGAAGCGGTGCAAGCAGCAGTCTACACGATCAACAGAAGCCCAACATCAGCGTTGCAGGAGCCGGTGACCCCCTTTGAAAAATGGAACGGAAGTAAGCCCAATGTTTCGAAAATGCGAGTATTCGGAAGCAAGGCGTTTGTCCACATCCCAAAGGAGAAGAGAAGCAAGCTGGACGATAAGAGTAAGTTGTGCAATTTCGTCGGATACGCTGTAAACGGGTACAGACTGTGGGACTCGGAAAAGCGGAAGGTTTTCATTTCGCGGGATGTAGTAGTTGAAGAGATCCAGCACAAAATGTCACCAGTTTACACGTCGGACCACCTTGTGTCCGATAGGGAAGAATCAAGCACTCAAGTCGCCGAGGAAGAAGAGGATCAAGAAATCAATGACCAGGAAGCTGCATCCGAGGAAGAAACGAGCGGAGAAACCGAATCGGAACCGGATGAAGAAACAGAACCAGCAAGGCGAAGTGGGCGGAACAGGAAGAAACCAAGCAAGTTCTCCGATTATCAGCTGTACGGAGCGTTTGCGCTGAATGCTGAAAGCTACACACAAAATCTACCGGAAACCATAGGCGAACTGAAGCAGCGGGATGACTGGGAGGAGTGGAAGCTGGCGATCGACGATGAAATCAAGTCGTTGCAGAAGAATAACACTTGGAACCTGGTTGACCTTCCTGATGGCTGCCGGGCGGTGCCCTGTAAGTGGGTCTTCAAGATCAAATACAACAATGACAATTCGGTAAGCAGGTATAAGGCGCGACTAGTAGCGAAAGGCTGCTCTCAACGGTTCAGACTGGACTACCAAGAAACGTATGCTCCAGTGGTTCGAATGAGTACCGTACGCACGTTACTGTCAGTGGCCGTACAGCAGAAATTGCACCTGCATCAAATGGACGTTCGGACTGCCTTTCTGAACGGAACATTGTCAGAGACGGTCTACATGCGGCAACCACCAGGATTTGAGAAAGGGAAGAAGGTGTGCAAGCTCAAAAAAATCCCTATATGGTTTGAAGCAGGCTCCTAGAAGCTGGAACGAGCGGTTCCACAACTTTATGGTGAAGCTGGGTTTTCAACGATCGCAGTATGACAGCTGTCTCTACACAAGAACGGAAGGAAAGGTTCAGATCTACGTTGTCCTGTATGTGGACGACATCATTCTGGCGTGCAATTCGTTGAAGAAGTTGGAATCGACCAAGAAGCTGCTGTCTGCAGAGTTCGACATGATCGATCTTCACGAGTTGAAGAATTTCTTGGGATTGCGAATCGAATACGACATGAAGCAAGGTACGTTGTCTATCAATCAAACTAAATATTTGCTTGATCTTTTGAAGCGATTCGGCATGGAAACGTGTAAACCGGTTTCCACACCATTGGAACCAAACACCAAGTTGGAAAAGCTACACTATGACCGGGAACAATTCAAGTGTCCCTATCGAGAGCTGACGGGATGTTTGACATACCTCATGCTGTCTTCCCGTCCGGATATTTATGCCGCTGTTAACGTCCTCAGTCGGTTCCAGAGTGCGCCATCAGAGGAACATTGGAAGGCTCTCAAAAGAGTCCTACGCTACCTTCAAGGGACGAAGGAGTATTCCCTTGTCTATCATCGTGACGAGGAGTACGTTCCACTGCTCGGGTTTGCGGACGCAGATTGGGGCGGCGATGTGAACGATAGAAGATCCACGCCAGGATTCTGCTTCAAAGTTTTCGGCAACACGGTGACATGGGTTACACGCAAGCAAGCAACCATCAACCGAGGCGGAATACGTTTCTCTGAGCCAGGCTGCATGCGAGGCAATTTGGCTACGAAATCTCGTTACGGAGTTTGGTTTTGTGCTGGATGCACCTCTTGTCATCTTCGAGGACAACCAGTCCTGCATCCAAATTGCGAAGGAGTCAAGGGACCAAAAACGGCTCAAACATCTTGACATTCGGTACAACTTTGTTCGAGAGCGAATCGAGCAACGAGAGATCGAGGTGAAATATATACCGACTCAGGACCAAGCTGCTGATATCTTCACCAAGGGCCTTCCAACGGAGAGCTTCAAGAAGCATCGTAACACGCTTGGTTTGAGAGGGGGTAATGTGAAGCAAACCGAAACATGAAGCTGAAATTAAAAGTAGTAGGCTTTGTGATTAATCAATTAGCTATATAAGTTCCTGTGAGATTATACTCTTTCTCTTTTGCCAATAAACCACTGCCTCGACAACACATTTCAATAAAGCGTACCCCATTCTAATTTAAATTCTAACACTAAACTATGTTTGTTTTGATTATTTTCTGAGCCATATTTTTTTCGATCCCATAAGACTTTTATCTCGATTTTTAAATCAAGATTTAAAGCAAAATAATAACTTCACTAGTTGAAACTTGTTAGTTTAGTTAACTGACAGCTCACTCCCATACAAAGTCCCATCGAGGGGCGCTAAGATGGTTATTTTTGCTAATGTACAATCCCTCTTATTCTGCGAGTCACGTTACACTCTGTCACCGTTGAGGTGACAATTGGGTTCTTTAGGGGTATTGAGATAATGGCATATTCGTAATCTGCATGTCCAATGGAACCGAAATCCAAAATTTCATCAATTTTGAGCTCTGGAAACTATTTTAAACAAGTGTGATTACAATAGCAAAAATAGATAAATGACTCACGTAATAGGGGAGAATCATATTTGCACAGATTTGCACTGTAAATCCGCTTCGATCATAAATAGGAGCGAAGAATGAGTGAAAATGTTTCGTTTTCCTTTAGGGGATCGGAAAATCAAATCCGTCGTTCTCCCACCACCACCCCAAAAAGGAAGGATTTCTCAACTTTTCTATGAACATCATCGGTACCGGGAACCACGGCTATCACCCAACCCGGAGTTTGTTTTTTTTTTTTTTTAGGTTTTTCTTTATTTCATAACTGTTTACTTCTTGCATCATCCTATCATTTTTACCTTCATTCAATGAAAAAAAAATAATAATCATTACTTCCTAATAATCCTTTCTACTGTATCTGATTTATGCTTTTTCATCTCCTTCTTCTTCTATTTTCCGCGTCCAACTTCCAAACTACAACAGAGTATGTAGTTATAGTTGTTGATTTTTGTTTGTTTGTTTTGTTTGTAATGTTACTTCTTATCGTTTTGCTTTGTGTTTGTAGTCATCTAAGCCAAATAATTAATTTGTTTTGTTTTATTATTCCGTCCTTCGGGAACCATTCGGAGCGCGGACGATGACGCAGCGGGATGACCATTGCGCTCCAGGGATCCAATTGACCGCAGCCAGGAAGGGTCAATTGAATTTCCGGAGTATGTGTATGTGTGTGTGTATGTTGTTTGTATTTTTGCTTCGCATGGGCAAGAAATAGAAGCGAATGGTTCCGAAATTCGGCTGTAGGAAAACAAGGAAAACTAAACAAGGGGAAAGGGGAACGGGAAACACGGGTGCTGCACCCAATTACGATTTAGTATAGTTTGTTTGCTTTAGTCGCAACCATATCTTGGAAACATTTTTTTTTTCTTCTGTTAAATCCTCTTTCTTCCGTGTTTTTTTTTTTACTTACTTAAACAATTATAGTCATTTAGATACTTGTTTGTTTTCTTGAATATAGTTAAAAAACTGTTTTTGTTGTTTGTTTTGTTTTCATTTTTTGCTGTTTTGTCTAGAATTTTTTGTTATTCTTTAGAGAAAATTTGCTTTCTTCCTCTCTTCTATTTCCGTTCACTTTTTGCTCAAGAATTTTTGTTTTGTTTTATTTCAATATATTTACACATAATTTGTTACTTTCTTCTTTTTTTATTTTGATAGCATATTCGATTAATTTATAATTAATTTCTGTGTTTTCCATAAGTGTTGTTTTTCTTCCAAGAATTCTCTATGCACCGTTTGCAGATTTGCTGTTGTTGTTGTTGTTGTTGTTATTGATGTTGCATAGAGAGCGGTATCTTAATCGCCGTAAAACAAAAGGAAAACGCTTTCAACATAAACCAAAGAAACAGCATTCGCAGAAGGGATCGATTATACTTTTAGTAGTTTTCACTCTATCGACAGTACAAGAACTAGTACTCTAACACAGGAGAACTTTTGCATTCACTTTTGAACAGTTTTTATCCGAAAACAATAAAAACAATCAAAAAAAAGACATCCCGATTTGACAGGTTGAGGTTATGTGTGTGTTTGTGGTTGTGTGTCATTAATAGTAGGTGGCGTGCTGCACGTGATTTCCCTTGCTTGGGATGTTGGGGACGACAGAGGGGAATTGACTGCAAACTGACACAAGCTCGCACGGGGCGGACACGGCGGGTTGTTGCGGGACGACAGAAAATCGGAAACAAATTGCGCATTCAAGGGAGGGAGTGTGCACTGTTGTTGTTATTGTTGTTTTCAATCGACAAAAACAATTGTATTTGACAGTTGCATTGATAATGCCTAGGTCTTTTCTAAATCTACAGTTTTTGCTCTGTTTTGCATTATTTTACTTTGTTGTATTGGCTGTGTTTATTATTGTTCCTTCATTTTTTTCTTCTTCTTCAAAGATTGGTTAAATTCTTGGTTTTTTTATTTTGCAGAATAGACAAAAAAATCGATAGCAAAACAAAAAATGAGTGTTTCAACTAAAAGCTAGAATCGGAAAACGAAACATTAGACAAACTGGTTTCATTGTTTATGCTATTTGTAATAGTACTTGTAAGAGTTACAGCGTTTTTCATTAAACGTTCTTGTTGTCTGTTTGTTGTAGTAGTAGTAGTAGTAGTAATATTTGTAATACAGCATTATTTTCTAATGTGTACGGGGAGAGAAAAAAATAAACGATGATGATACGACGGTATGATTGTGTTGGTGACGGCGCTTGGCTTACGATTATTGAGAACGGGAGGAACGAGACCATGAGATGAAAGATGGACTATGAGTGTAAATGAGTAGTGTATTGTTTGAGTGGCACTGCGAGGTGGAGCTAGCTGATTGGCGGGCAGCAGCTGCACACAAACAATAGACGGGAAGTGCAGTTCTTTTGTTGTGGTTCGTCTCTGTCCGTGGCATCTGCCGTGGCCGCTTCACATGCACCCACACACGCACGCGCCTCTACTTCCACTTCCTTCCAACCAATATTCATAATCACTAATAATTATATTTAATTTTACATACTTTGTTTGTAATTAAAGTTAGAGTTTGCTAATGTTTTGTTTCCTTTTTTTTTGTTTTATTATTTCAGCAAGATTTGTTTTGCCACATTCCACTCGTTTCGTTTACAAGTGTTTACTACTAATTCAGCTTCTTCAGTTTTCATCTTTCTCTGTTGCCCACTAACGAAAAAAAAAAAATCCGGTTCTGCATCCGTTCTGCACCTCTTCGCCATCTGCTGCTGCCTGCTCATTTTTTTCCCTTTCCTTTCCTATAACAGCGCTCCGCTTCTCGCTTCACCTTTTGTTCCTTCTTCTTCCTTTTCCTCTTTAAGTTTACTCAGTTTAGTAATTGTAATATATTTTATACATAAAAAATTAAAACTTCTATTTCTCAGTTTCCGTTGGTTGCTTATCTTTATCACGCCGTTCGTCGCGGGCACCCTCGCCAGCTACATGGGGCAGTGCATTGGTGCCGCCCTTCAGGATCCCTCGCTGTTTCAGCATCGTCCAGTCAAAGGTGTAATCGTACTGATGATTTAGTGTGCGGAATAGGATTCTGGAAGAAGAAGAAGAAGAAAAACGGAGGTTTGAATAACGTAATATAGTCAAGATTCCTATACTACGGTTAATAGGAACCGGCATTAACGAATACACGTAGCATATGGGATTAGAGCTAATTGGGACCAAACACTGATTGTACGGCAATTTGAGGAGATAACTTCCTGATGTCTTTGAAGAAGTTGTTAAGCAGATACCTTTAAGAAATATTCAGTTTCCGGTAGGAGACAAGTCTGGCCCTGTGGAAGATCCGGAATATCCGTAAAAGTGGTCAATTCATGAAACTGATCCTAAAGCTCCGTGGTTTTATAGAAGCCACTCATATACATCTCATTAGAATGAATTCGGAGTTGTGTTCGGAATATGGACCACAGGATTGTTCACCGGAAGGTCCGGAACATCCGTAAAAGTGGTCAATTCATGAAACTGATCCTAGAGCTCCGCGAATTTTCCGAAATCACTCATACACGTTTTATCAGAATGAATTCAGATTTGTGACCGAAACATGGACGGTGGGGACTACGGCGTGGTCCACAAGAAGATCCGGAACATCCGTAAAACTGGCAAATTAAAGTAAATGATCCAATAGCTCCGTGGTTTGTTCTAAACCACTCATAGACGTCTTATCAGAATAAATTTGGAGTTGTGACCGGAATATGAACATTCTGAACCACGGGATGGTTCACCGTAGGTAGATCCGGAACATCCGTAAAAGTGTTCGTGAAACTGATCCTAGAGATCCTCGTTTTTTTCGAAACCACTCATAAACGTCTTGCCAAAATGAATCCTAGGTTGTAATCGGAATATGGACGCTGTGGACTACGGGATGGTTCTCTAGAAGTGTTAAAACCACTGGGCTCAAAATCCGATACCCATGCAGCCACAAACATCAACGACACTGTTCTAGGTGACAAATGACAGGCAGATCTAAAGGGTGTCCACGATGAAATTGCCACACACAAAATTGATTCGCAAAATTCGAGTTTTCATCCGATTGCCATCAAATTTTCAGGGATTGAGAAATAACTATTAAACTTCATTTTACCATTTTACTCGTATTTTATTTACAGTCCATACGCAAATGCCCGCACCTTGACCTTAACCCCGGCCATAAGATTCTGCACAACCTGTGAATCAACCGTTTTTTGCATGTAAACCCATACTTTCTTCAGGTCCTCGACTGTCTTCACTACCTTAGGTCGTTTAAGAAGGTGCTGCTTCATGATCGCCCAGTACTTCTCGATGGGGCAGAGCTCCGGAGTGTTGGGAGGGTTGAACATTTTCTGCACGAAATTGACCTTATTGTCCGCATACCACTTCAGCACGTCCTTGGAGTAGTGGCATGAGGCCAAATCCGGCCAGAAGATTGTTGGGACGTTGTGGGCCTTCAGGAGAGGAAGCAGCCGCTTCTGGAGGCACTCTTTTATGTACACCTGTCCGTTCATCGTGTCCTGGGTCACGAAAGGTGCACTCCGCTTCCCGCACGTGCAGATGGCTTGCCAAACCAGGAATTTCTTCGCAAATCTGGACATCTTCTGAGAGCGGACATGCTCCGGAACGCTGAACTTATCCTTGGCCGTGAAAAACAGGTTGCCGGGGATTTGTTTGAAGTCGGCCTTCACATATGTTTCGTCGTCCATGATGCAGCATTCAACTTTCGTCAGCATGTTGAGGTACAACTTCCTGGCACGGGTTTTGGCGAACTTGTTCTGCTTCTCGTCGCGATTAGGGGCCTTTTGTACCTTGAACGTTCGAAGCCCAGCCTTAGTTTTGGCCTTCTGGACAAAACTTCGGCTTAGGTGCAGCTTCTTAGCCACATCCCTAACGGAGGCGTTCGGATTTCTGTTGAAGGCCCCAACTACGCGGTTGTGATTTTTGGTGTTGTACGGAATACTTTTTCCTTCACTTCTGGGCTTCCGATCGGTGGTCAACCGTTCCTCGAACCGCTTAACCACTCGCGACACCGTGGAATTCGCGATTCCCAACGTTTAAGCGATGGAACGATGCGAGAGATCCTTGTTCTCGTGATGAATGCGCAAGATTTTATCACGCACGAGTTGTTCTTTCGACTCCATTTCCGCGAGTTTTGATCACAGGACTTTAAAACTTGCAGGATGTAAATAATGCACTATGAACTAAATCCACCCAAATTTTCATCAAACGAGCTGCTTTAAAAATTTAGTTTTTTTCTTGCCAAACGATCCGAACAACTCTCAAAAGATTATAACCCCACTTTGAGATGGATCACTGTTGCGGAAAGTGCGATCAGCCTGACAACGATAAGATGGCCGCTTGCGATCATTGCGAGGTCTGGTACCATCTGGAATGTGTAGGAGAATCTCCGGGAGTGGCGGACCGGAACTTTTTGTGCCCCAAGTGCACCGGCAAAAAGGAGAAAAAGGTCAAGAAGGGAAAAACTGATGTCGAGATTGATGCTTCCGTGCCCAACAAACCCGAAAACACCCAATTGCCAAAAAATCCAGCGCCAACCGAGCCCGAGAAGAATCCCATTCGCAAAACAAATCCGGATGTTACTGAAACGGACAATGGAGGCAATCGAAAGGAGAAGAAAAGTTCGTTTACGACCCCTGCCACCGATAAACCTGGTGAGTCACAAAGGCAAACGGAATTTCAACGATTAGAGGAAGAAATGTTGCGAAAAGAGAAGCATTTGGAACATGAAAGGGCGCTAAAGGAGAAGCGGTTGGAATTGAAGGCGAAATTGCAGGAAAGAAATCTGGAACAGGAAAGGGCATCAAGGAAGAAGAAGTTGGAGCAGCAGCGCGAAATGTACCGGATTCAACTGGAGGAAGAAACGCAGGACGCTCTACGGGCACAATTTTTTTTTTCGCTCAAAGGAGAACTAAATTCCGGTGACTATGTTGTGGATACTGTTGGCGACGGTGCACAATTGACAGCAAGATCAATTGATTCCCTCTTTCCAAGAGACGCCGAAACGCATTCCAAATTCGAAGATCCCAGTACGGACGAAACCGAAGAAAACTCCCGACGGACAACGGGAAATATTGAAGAGGAAGAGGAATCGGAGGTCGAGTCCTCGGACGAGTATGAGGAAAATGTTCCAGAACCAAAACTACCGATAAAGCAAAAAACCAGAACTGTTGCAGCCCCTATATCCCACGGGTCGGGGCCGACCAAAGCTCAGATAACTGCTCGTCAGGTTTTGTCGAAGAAACTCCCCGTGTTCAGCGGTAAGGTGGAAGAATGGCCAATTTTCTACAGCAGCTACGTCAACAGCACGGAGGAATGTGGATTTACAGACGTGGAAAATCTGGTGCGACTTCAAGAATGCCTTAAAAGGCCCTGCTCTGGAGTCAGAAAGAAGTCGGTTGTTGCTTCCGAGACTCTGCGATCGAGACTTTGCGCATGTTGTACGGTCGCCCAGGGCAGCTCATCCACACTCTGTTAAATAAGGTGAGAAGGACGGATCCACCCCGAGCCGATCGTCTCGAATCATTCATACCCTTGGAGGCAGCTGAGTTGCACAATCATTTGGTGAATCCCGTTTTGATCCAAGAGCTGGTCGACAAGCTTCCGGCTGCAACGAAACGGGAATAGGTTCACCACAAGCGCGCTGTTCCGAACGTAACGCTTCGAACGTTTGCAGATTTCAGAAAGACAAGGGTTTCATTCATGCGCATAGTGAAGAGTCTGCGAGTGCACCAACACCGCCACTAAGCCCGTGTCGTATTTGTATAAAACAGCTGGGCATCGTATAAGGAATTGTGAAGAGTTTCGTCGACTGAGTCCGGGAGAGCGGGTGAAAATGATGGAACGATGGAAATTATGCGAGCGATGCCTGAATGAGCAGTGCCGTTTTAAGATCACGTGAAACATTAGAAATTGTCGTCAACAACACCATCCGTTGGTACATCGAGAGGCTGCTACTGGTTCTAAAGTTGGACAAGGACAGTTACATACGCACTTAGATGGGAAGCTACCGGTGATTTTCAGAATCGTTCCTATAGCATTGTATAGTGGGCAACGATCGATCTCTACAGTAGCTTATCTCGACGAAGGATCCTCTATGACTCTAGTTGAAGAAAGTATTGTACGCACGCTGGGAATACGTGAAAACCCACAACCATTGACGCTCCAGTGGACGGGCAATATCGTACGCCGAGAATCATCGTCAGAGTGTGTTACAGGTAGCAAGCGAAGCGGGCAATTGTCTGGTTCTAAAGGATGCACATACGGTCAAGAAACTATACCTGCCAAAACAGAGAGCCGATTTCATGAAAATTATCAATAGGTACCAACATTTGCGTGGATTATATGCAGCAAATCACACCGGAGAAGAACCAAAAATCTTGATCGGGCTAAACAATGCATTCTTGTTCGCGCCATTAGAGTCAAGAGTCGGGAACAGGCCGTCACAATATCAGCTTCAATCGACCAAATCGATGAGACGAAGAGACTGCTGGCTTTCTTTTTCTGTTAAAGTCGAACAGCTTCGCAGCATTCTAGAACCTCAGTCGGCGTGCACAAACAAATGTTCAATCGCTTGTCTCTCTTTCTCCCGTCGCTCCATTGGTCTTCCTTTCAAGCTTCGTCGAAACGGATGAGCGAAAGAGCGCTTGACTTTGATAGTTTTCTCTTTCATGAAACACATCAACAGAGGTTTCATGACGTATATGACGGAAAATGAAATAACACATTTAAAGCATTTCTCACGTCAAAACACTTGAAGATTACACGTCATATTTTTAATTTATCTTCCATCCATATATTTATCTAAAAAAATTTATCGAAAACGGGACATAACTCATTTTAAACAAATTGAAAGAGCGGTGATAGAGTGTTCGTGAAAGAGGATTGAAAGCCATAATGACGTTCGTTTAACTAGAAAATCGACGTTAGTTACATTGAAAGCGATGAGCAAATCAACGACGAGAAGTTCCACAGCCAGCCTTTCCTTCTAAGCGTCCTGCTTTTTTATTTTCGTTTCTTGCTGATAGTCTAGCTAGGCGTTATAGA